TTTAGTTATTGAAGAAGTCACATTAGAAAACATTTAATAACAAACCCCAAACCAAAATGGAGATGCATGGCTAGCTGTATATGTTTCCAAATGCTCTTCAAATCTCCTAATAAATCACACAGGAAGACTTTGTGATGGCCTGAGCTCTCTGGAAGAAATTTTAAAGGAAGCACTGACTCATATTGTCATAGAGACCTCTTCTACTTCGTGCAATCAGTATGCGCTTCAAAGTCACAAGTCAAATGCTCAAAAAAGTAGCCCTTAAGATATGCACCAAGCTTGCCAGGTATAGAATTCCTTTTCTAGAGATGAACTTTGTGTTAGCAGTTGGAATTTTCCCGTGCAGTCCAGCACAGGGTTAAATGGAGAACATCCATCTATTGTGCTGTGTCCTGAACACTTCAAGATCAGGCATGCTGCACCCAGTTTAACAAAAATGGATAAGGCATTGTAGCCCTTACAGCAGATCTGGCAGTTAGAACTAGGCTGTCCCCAAGCCATCCTTCCATCTGGAACCTTCTGCTAGGGAATGGTGAAGGGGAGCTACTCCAAGGGTTTCCAGTAGCCAAGGACAGGCAAGAGGCTACTGTTGTTTTCTAGTAATTTATCTTTGAAGGGTTCAGTTTAAGTGAATTAGTATGCTTGGTATGGAAAGAAGCTTTCTGTTTTTCAAGTTGGATGCAGAACTGAATTCAAAAATTACAAAAGAGCAGGGTGTCACTACTGGGAGCAGAAATTAGGGTCCAGTTTTTTTTAATTATTGTAACTCTAGGGCCTTTGACTCTGGGTCTCTAACATAAAGAGGAGGAGTCTAATTTCCCTCTTTCATGACAGAGCCAAGCCCTCTTTCATGTGGACCAAGAGATGGAAAATATAGAAAACCACCTAATTGTGCCCAGGTTTCCAAATACCTTTTTTCACACTGGCATTTGACCTGAATGTTCATGAGTGATGACTCATTATCAGTGACAGACATGGTGGGTCTTTCATTGACTCCACTAGCCTCTCCACCAGCCGAGTGCTAGGACCCACTTGGTCACCACTGTTAACGACTGGTAGGGAGACACTACAAATATACCACAGTCCCACCCCTATACTCTGCCAGGGCAAAGCAAGAAGCAGGCCAAACATTGTGCTGAGGCTAGGCTCCAATTTGAATTGACAGTTGCAGAGTACGAGGACCCTGGCGGGATGCTTTGAGCTCCAAACCAGCCCTTCCCACCTGCGTGGGCTGCAGCCTGATCTAGCCATGAGCAACCTCAGCCTGAGTGCTGGCTTCTGAGCACCAACACTCACCCATGAAGGAGGCAACGTTGAGGGCACAGCTTAGCCTCACTCTTGTTCTTGGAGTCACATGCACTTGTACCAAATATCCCTTAGAAGCAGCAGCGCAGTGTGACAAACATTCAAGCAGAAATTAAAAAGCACATGCAGACTCACAAAACTGCCCTGGGTGAGTAAAGCGTGTATCCACGCACAGGCACGCACGTGCACACACTCACACTGAAGTTAACAGTGCCAAACAACAAGGAAAGCTGAGAAGGCCAAATTAAATTGATTGGATGTAATCTACTTTGGAGTTGCAGATATTCAAGAGGAAAACATGCCTTTCCTTAACTTACTACTGAAAAGACCTTAAAAAGCAAAATCAGCATGGGTTTGATTGGATTCAGAGGATGCCAGACAGTTTACAGGGGACGCTGAGCATGAGAAGTTGCATTTGGGGGCAGAACATGGATTTTGTTTTTGTTTTTGCTAAGAGGGATATGACCCATAGACAAAAATCACCTCGCTGCATGCAACTGGGCCAGTCGGGAGACAATTCTTGTCTTTCCTTTCTTTGTGAAGGTGGAGCCCAGGCCACCTCCTGTCCTTGGTGAGAAGGAAGAATCATTACACTATTTGAAGCAGAAAAAGAGTTCAGGGAGGGTTTCCTTCATTCCTTTTCCTTTTCCTTTCTTTCCTCTTTCAAAAAATTCTAGTAATGGCTAAGCAATTTGCCAACCAGGTCCCAGCAAACAAAGAGAACAAGGAGCTTGTTAAAAAAATCACTTTTTGCTGAAATTCAGGCTCGATCAGACCTGCCTGGTTCCCTGATTTCTGTTCTGCCAGAGCCCAGACAGAGCTTCTAGAGGCCGGCAAGGAAAAGCTGCGCACAACTGCTGCTACCACACGGCCCCGTTCCTCAGACTCCTGCTTAGCACAGTGCTACGTAATAAATATATTCATCCTTTGGAATTAGTACAACTGTTTCTTCCTGTGCGGCATTCTAAGGGCACTTGCTGGCTCTTACCACTACAGTCAGCACTAGGGTGGACAACAGTTAAAGGAAAACAGAAGGAGAAAGAAAGAAGCTCCTGTTGTGGACACGAGGTCATGAGGAAAGGTCACGTGTGGACACTACTGCTGATTTTGGAAACATAGAAATTTCCACCCATGGCTGCTTGGCAAGTGTTACTGTGGGCTGGCCCAGTGTTTGGCTCATGGGTGTTGGGACCAGAATTTCCCTTTTTGTCGTGGCTGAGGGATGGCAGTCTATAAATTCTCCAATCAAGTCTGGGCCTTAGTGTAATACGGCAGGCCTTGCCCCGCTGCCAGTCCTTTTTCTAACTGCCGTTTAAGTGTGGGACTTAGAAGAGTCTTGCTTTTTTCTTCATGTCGTTTCGTCTCCAAAGAGGTAACTTGTCAAACTCCTGTATGGACATCCCAAAGATTTCCCGAAACACTTCTGGGGCCAAGTGGCGCTGGAAAGAGAGAACAGAGTAGTGGTCAGTCCTGATGGCCACACGGATGGCCTGGAGAGTTGACCTCCAGCTTAAAGATACAGTTGACCCTCCATATCTGTGGGCTCCACATCCTTAGTTCAGCCAAGTGCAGACCAAAGATATCCATAGAAATTGCCTCTGTACTGAACATGCATAGAATTTTTTCCTTGCCATTTACCCTGAACAATGCGGCATAATGGCCATTTATATTGTTTTAGGTATTATGCATAAGGTGAGGTGATTTAAAGTGTACACAAGGATATGTTAAGATAATATGCAAATTTTACATCATTTCTTAGAAGAGACTTAAGCATCCATGGATATTGGGATCTAATGTCCTCCCTGGAATCAACCCCTTGCAGGTACTGAGGAGCACTGCCATCATTTTGAAGAGTAAGGCTGCCTGATGGGAGAGGAGGTTATCTCTGATGCTCATTTACTAGGCCAGGTGAGTGCCCTTTCCACCAGATGAGGGGCTCATTCAGTGTTACTGGTCCTGTTATAATTCAGTGTTAAAACAACACTGAGTAGTAATGCTGCACAGGAGAGCAATTTCTGATGCTGGAGGGGACTCCACTTAAGTTCTTTGGGATGTTCAGAAGATACACAGAAAATGGACCATGGCAATAGAAAGCCAGCCAGAAAGAGACTCCAGGGTGGTCCCTGGGAGCCCTGGGCTTCTTCTTGGCTTATCAATGAGGGGGAAGGTGGATACCTGGTCTACTGGGGAGGCCTCCTATCTGTCACCGCTTCCAGAACAGTCCCCTTAGGACCCAGGGGCCGGTATTCTCTGAGCCAGCCTGACTTCTACAAAGGTATCGCCTTTTGTCAGGGAGCAGTAACGATTGTTCCTGAGACTGGCAGCCAGAATTTTTTTTTTAAAAAAATAAACCATTCAGATGGAAAAGTACAAAGATCAGTCTTCCAGATCTAAGGAGGCCTTGGGCATGTGTACCCAGCTAACCCCTCCACGAGGAATGCAGTAACAGCCACGAAAGACATTTGTCCAGTATAAACCTCCTCCTAGAGAGCTCCTTCCCAGCTCCCAGTGGGCTCAGCCCAGGGTCAGGGGAAGAGGACTCTCTGAAGGGGGATGGACACACCCATTCTGCATTCCCCAGCTCTCATTACAACAGCATCCGATTTCCAAAGAAAATGACTAAAATCATACTGTGTCTCAAGGGTTGTTTCAAATGTCATTCCAGGCATTTTAAAAATACTGATCTAAGTATAGAGACATTTAAATATAAGGGCTGTACTTCTGTCCTCCCTGATGCCAGGGAATGCCAGATTTAGACTGGGCACCAGAAACCCAAAACATCCTTCTCAATCCCTCCTTGACATATGTATTTTGAGGGCAGGGGTCAAGTCTGGGTTATTGTTGTACCTCCAGGAGTCTAATAGAGAGCTCAGTACATACTAGAACAATGGATACAGGCCTGCAAACTTGCTTCTCGTGGTTTTTATCTCATTAGTGATTCTCTGAGATTTTAGTTACCTCTTAGTTCTACCTACAATATGAGATTGATCTTTGTGATTTTTCGTTTTCACTGAAAAAATAAAACATTTCTCTGGGGACACTG